TTGCTCCGTAAACTTATAGTACCTTCGCCCATTCCTGATATCCTGGTATACATGACAATCATTATAATGGCTGAAATACGAGTACGCGCAAGATGTTTATGTATGTATCTACTACAGAGAAAAGATTTGTATTTCTGTATACAAATAAACTCAAAACTACTGGACCAATTTCGAAAAATTCTTTTGCCATTATAGCTACTATTACTGAGTAACAAAGACTTTGCTAATTACTGTTTTTTTATTCCGTGACGAATAATATTAATTCATACGAATTATGAACATAAGGGAATAAAAAGATTCGCCTACATTTTCTTAGCTTATATATAAAACATACATTGTGAATAACATCTAAAATCATAGGTTGCGTAAAATATTATAACAAAATGGAAAGGAAACGCTTGTGATTGCAAGAGCGGAAATGACGAAAACTGTTCTTGAATATTTTGCTCTAACAAATGGTGTTGGAATATCACATACTATTTCATAACTGTCATTTTATCCGTTTTATATAAAAAAACGCTTTTTACTCATGTTAATAGTTAAAATGTGTAGGACTCTATTGAGGGGACATAGAGTTCATATTTGGTTTTATTAGAGTCCATAAAGATTAATGCGATGCTTGTTTTTTCTCATGGAGACAGTAAAAAAGACTAGTAGGTAATGAGTCGATGAAATATTCAAAGTCGGCTCTTATTTCTTTTGTCTAAAATATCTTAAGTGGTTCTTAAAAAATATAAAAATGTACTCGGATGCGTTTAAAAGGCTCGGGAAGGATGTAAACGATTATCAGTGGTCGTTAAATGGATGAATTGATGTGGTTCGGACGACATTCTAGGCTCAGCCACTTATGATACCAAATTCCAATTGTACTACTCTGAATAGTATTTAGAAAACGTAATGGAGAGACAGGTTAAACTAAAATAGTAAAAGATTTAGTCATGTATGTTTTTTTAAGAAACAAGTACATGCTTCTATTAGCTTATTAATAATTAATTTACTCAGACGCCTAATAAGTATGAAAACGTATGGATGGGTACATATTACACCGATTTTTATACGATTTCATATTTAACAGCCCAAACCCATCCAACTATTCACCAATAAAATGTATATAGTCTGCGTGGGTTCTAAGTATTTACCCATTATTGCTTTGCGGCTAATCATTCTTATTTCTCATTTTAGATTACAACTAAAATCCTAGATAATTCAATAAAAATATTCATGACACATTCAAAGAATTTGAATAATGGAAAAATGCAATAAAGATGCCCTATTTTAATCAAGCGAGTAGGAATACATTTATCATATATTATGTTATAAAATGTTACCAACACATCAACTGTTGGAAAGTGAACAAAAAATATTCGCAATAAACTGCGGCAGGTAACTGCAGGCATTAGTCACAGCTGTTTGTGAGTCACGTTCCTGTTTGTTCCATTGAAAAATGTTACTCTATTGTTTTTATTTTACGAAAGTGGAAGTTACATGAAAACATATTTTTACGGATTCAAACACAACAAATGTCCATTTTCATTATTGTATTACATTTTGTTACTCATATTTATTGATTTACTAAAACCTTGACCTTACGTGAATCGGTAGCTAATGTCCATAATTTCCGCTTAGTCGGTTTACGAATCAATTTCCAGTAAATTACTGAATAAAAAATCTAAATGTATAGATAGAGAAAAAAGTTCACCGTAATTTTTATACCAACTATAGGATTTTGTTAATTGAGTAATACACAAAAATATAACTAAATATTTATGATAACTTCATTAAGTAGTAAACATAGTTTCAAAATTTGTAACATTGTATTTAATTTTGTTGGCGTATTATAAAATAAAAATAGTAAGACTGTAACCGTACAAGCATATTTTTAGATTTCGATGATTATTCTTTACAAAAACTTCTCAGTATAATGTTCGTAAGATACGGGTTTCTTACCACGATTGAATTGTTTTAACTCCCGATATTTCGGCACAGTTGCATGCGCCATGTTCAGGGGCTAACATTATGTTTGTAAAAACCACGACAGTTTAAAGTTATATAACTTCTCAGTAATCACATGAATTAGAAATTGAAACTGCTTGACTAATTAGGCTTCTTTTCATTAAGTAAATTGTAGACAAATTTCCCTAATCTTGTAAATAACATCATTATAAAGTCTACGAACACTTGTTTGCAAATTGTTGATTCAATTATAGACACTTTGAAGAATCTGTATTTCCCGAGCGCCAATGTTTCACAGCGATAAATAAAGCTGTCGCAAAATTAAAGCAAACGACGCACGTTCTCTAAAAGCCATTCCCCAACGAAATGGTACACATTTCATTGAAATTCATAAAAGCCTACAGTTGAAAGACATTCACGACTCTAATGCGGAGTAAAGTTGCTGGATTTAATTACCGCCTACTGTTTCTTAGGGAACCAGGAATGAATATACCAGTAGAAATTAACTTCTAAATTAATTAAGTAACTAATTTTTGTATTAGGATTTATAGAATTATCCGAGAAATTTGGAGCAATTGCGTTTAAATAATTTCAACATTGTACAGGGAAGATTGACAGGTTCATTAAGAAACTTTCCGAAATGTGGTTACCGTTTAGTGCTAATTGTAGGTGGATTTAAAATGGCAAATCGTGAGTTTGTGCGCGAATAAGATAACTACTCGTATTACTCTTTTAACACTAATTGGTCTCGATCGACCCATGATTTAACTTCTTGGGTAATTTTATCAACCTATCGAGGAAATGGTTTACGAAATTCGTGCCTATCCTTTGCTCGGTTTACTTCGAGTTAATTTACATATAGAATGGGAAAACAAAAAGTCATAAATAAATAATAATCCTCAAAGAGACAAATGTAATTAAAACAATTCATATCAAACGTAATTGAGAAATTTTCCGCTTTCTACTATGAGTATAAAACAATAACAGAAAACACATAACAATCAAAACGGTAAAATATATTACATTACATTATTAGCCGTCAAATGAAATTCAAATAAGAGCTTGTAAAGTAATGTAACAATGTCATAAAGTACGTTTAAGTTAATGACTACATCTACCAGCTGAATGTTACACAAAGCACAAAATACTAAGTCGGAACGATTGCGATCATAGAACAAAGGCTATAAATGAATAAATATAATTATGTTAATCTTACTCTCACAAACTTAAGTGAATTTCAAGGTGTATAAATAAGTTACTAAGTTATTAAGCACGACACGGTTATAGAAAACAATATTAACATTTCTGTTACTCCAGTTACATTAGAAGTAAAAACGACTACTTAGTAAGAATTTTGATAGTTAATACATAATATTTTAACGAAGAAGTAACGATAATTTAATTACTAAATCTGCAGTTGCAAAATTCCTAAGTAGTTTGAAGATTTCAATAGGTACAGCGATGAAAATTGAAATGTAATATGAACCATTCTCTGTTGACATAAGGTACAAATTCTACTCTGTGCTCGCTCTCTAGATAAAAGTATAAATTAGCAGACTGTTTCTCCTAAGAACTAGCTAAATTAGACATAATCTAGTTGTTTTAACATTGACTTTTATCGGTCGTTTAAATAAGATTTAGTACGCATTAATCCTAGTATATTCCTTTCCTTTGTTAGACGAGCACTTAACATATCTCAGGCACGCAAATGTCACCGTGGCCCGAGTTGTGAACGTTTAGCGTTAAGGGAGTAATTTGTAGTATATTTATCGCTTCACTCGGTCCGATGTGTTTCGAAAGGCGGTACCTATGTACATTTAAATCGTGAAATTATGCGCAAATTGACGTGGGTGGGATATGACAATGTGCAAACGCTCAATGGATACGTGTTGCGTTACTCGAGCACTGTCTGAATCATTGTTACGGCGCATATTTCGAGGGCGGCCGCTTCTATAAATTATTAATGCTTTCATATCTTTACAATGATTAATGAAGGGATTAATAATGCTTATTTATAGCTCTTTTGAATTTTCTTACATTCGGTAATCAAGTTATGGAGTGCAAAAGTATGTTCACCTTTATTTTAACAACCAATTATTAACAAAACTCTTTATCTACAATCCTAATTCCAAGTAATTATTCTAAGCATGCTTATGTTTATGAATAACTTGTTACGTGCTTAATGTTTTTTTTATATCTGTGATTGTTTTGAAAACATCGACCTGATTACTTACTCAATAACGTTAATGTTAATAGAACAGTTATCTTATAGTTCTCAATTAATGTAACTCACTTCATGTTATGCATTAACTTAAAAGCTTCATAAAGTTCAACACGATGCGAAAGCTTTTACATATTGCTTCTCGTATAAATTCTCAGTGGAGTTTATTTGTTGGTAATGAAAACGATCTTAGCTCTGTTTAATTAAAGATTCTCGCTTTGGTACATTTCACATTAACCTTCGTGCAGTATTACTGAAGTAAAGGCACGATATCGACTGAGAAATTTACACCGAATCGAACAAGAGCTTGCAAATTACGAGCCTTAGAAATGTTAAGAAAAGACAAGCAACACCTTGATGTTACTTGATCTTGGTTTTATATTTATTGACCTTTGCAATTCAATGTTTCTTCTAGGTCAACCTAAGTATAAGTAAGAGCATTCTCCCATTTCCAGATACATTGGTGAGTATTTTTGTATTATAAGTGGTAAACAAGCAAGCGTCCTGAATTCGTCGAAATAGCGAAGCGACCGCTGCACATATTCATTCGCAATTGTAGGTGCGATACCTACTTTTAATCTACGAACAAGAGAACATGAAGAGAAAATATTCTCTTTCTGAGCGTCCCTACCTCTTTTAAATCCGCTTTCCCTTTCTTATAGGAAAGAGGATTAAAATTAAAACTACGACACGCACAATTATCAGACGAATACATTTCACTTCACGCCTGTCTTCTATGTGGTCGTGATATTGCACCGGATGACTTGATGTCGCTGTCATCTATCACTCTTAAGTAATAGTTGCTATTAAATTTATGCTAACGTACCTGTTGACTGTAGTTTGTCCGGGTTAAAATTATTCCCCCAATCGCGTTGCTTACTCTTCATCCTTTGATAAGTACTGCCTTACTACGTTATTCTGTGTAAACCTGAAAACAAAAAGAGCTTTGCGTTAATTTACTTTTTGCTGGCTCGATCCTGCTTCCGTGTCCGAGACCTGGTCTTCAATTAGCGCGTAACGCTGGAATTGGAACGCTCCTCATTAGGAGCAGGGTTTAGTAAGATCTGCGATAACGCATTACGCATGCACGCTGCATTGTCTTCGCGCTAGATGCCTAGATAATGTGGCGAGAGCACACCACCGGTAATATGCAAAGCTTTGATGTTACGTCGACTGACTCATGATTGTAGTATAGGTAAAGATTACAGATTAAGATTGAATAAATTTGTCTTTAATTGTTCATTGATAAATTTAAATTGTTAATCACGAACATGAGATATCTAATTGTATTGATATTATTTTACAAAGGTAAATGTAAACTGTATCAAATCTTATTGCAAGAATTAAGAAAGATAGATAGGAACGAAGAAGGAAGTCATGCTTTACTTACATGTACGCAAATCTATAGAATACTTCTTTAACTTGTTACTAATTTTAACGTACGAGACTAACAACTTTGTCTTAAATTAAATTATCACGAGTGCCGTGTTCGGCGCGTACAACCGAGATTACATCTTTAAGTACTTTTCATGTCTAAATTCCAGGCGTGCCGTGCAGCAACGCCCTCTATTGTGCAAGAGAATGTTGTAGTTTTGCTTGGTCTGTGCAATTGTGAGTGTTAAAGCAACGGGCAGGGCACGTGCCAAGGAACATTGCCGCCGACGCGTTAGATGTGCGACAACTTTATTTCTATACAACATAACTTATGTTTTGAGAAACGTTGATTAGACTGTTTGATATTATGTTACGTGCAAATAAAATGTAGATCTATTTATAGGTGTATAAAATATTTACGTAATAAACTACATTTCTTTTTGACAGCCGTATTAGGAGTTAATAAATCAGAAGCTTTAATATCATAGTTAATACTAAGCCATGTTGTCTGGATGGATCAATTAAAAAAAACACCCCGCTGTTATAGAACAGCATAGAAAGTAAATCTATACTTTAATTAAAATACCCATGTTCAACGGTAGAGAAACAAAGTCTGACACACATAAGAGCAGTTCACTTTATTGTATAACTCTGACGTCACTCCGAGGAGCGTGCTGTCAAGTTAATTGATTCGCTGACAAAAGCCCCTTACCACAACTGTCTAGTGGTCTATTTGCTTTTATAGTGTACAGTTATCGATCCGAACAACACGTTACATGTTGTAAAATATAGCAATAATCATTAAGAAGTATATATTGATATTAATTAATATTAAAATAAACAGTAAATATACTAAAAACGGGCGCACGCCTTTGACTAAACTATCCCACAACTGTTGTGCGATTGTCGTTTGTTTCGAAACAAACTTAACTGTTTAGTTGTACAACTAAAAATCGAATAGTGTGCGCATCCTCATATAAACTCATAGGAATCATAACGCGACCAAACCGTTTTGCGATAGTCAAAGGTGTGCGCGCGCTCTAAAGATGTGTATTTACTGCACCGGATTCTAGAAACCGATCTAACTATTCCCACACTATCGATTTTACAAACAAAACTTTTCCACACATCGCAAGCGTAAAATGTATATATTAGAGTAAACATTTCGTCAAGTATGCAGTCAAACATAACGGTTAGCGAGTACTCGAACAAAGAGTTCTTATCTCGCTGTTTCAACTAAATAGTTACTTGGCGAAACGTGCCCGAGATCTCGGAGTTTTTTTTCGTCGGATACACTTAGATCGTGGAAAGGTGTGTCAATGTTGACGCAGCGGCAATTTTAACGTTTGTGTAGGTTGTACCTGTTTACATACTGCCCTTAAGCTGTGAGAGAGTACGTAGCATAATTTAGGTAATAATAATAAATTTGGTAATGTACTCCCAAGAGAAGTGATTAACTTTCAAAATCTATGTTTGTTTTTAATTACATATCTCTTTTGACTTTTGACAATAGAAAATTCATATGGGCCGAATGTCTGTGTGATACATCCAGTTTATTACATTTAAAAAATACAACAGAATGCAATTCTGCAGTATTTGTAAAACCTGACGTAAGTAGCAGATTACCTCTGCGCGGTGACCAGATTATCTTCTAATACTAGTGGTACTGGATGCTTCATTAAACTATATACGATTATAAAGAAGTTATGCAGTTCTAACCTACATAACCCCATTACTCTAATTCAATATAATGTATCACCTTCTGCCAATTCAATTAAGGAATATTATACTAGCGTATAAAATCTAGTAAGAGTTTAACAATTGATCTACTTTTAAAATTTATCTCAAACGTAAAAAAATTACGACAACATAACATCAAAATCGTATTAAAACATTCATATTTAAATATGAAATAAAGCTTAAAAACAATACAATTACGCCCGTAGCCACGGACCTCTATTTCAAGTGTTCTTAATAGCGTCATGTTATACATAAAACTTCAGGAAATAAGACTTGTGTCCGGATATTGCTTGAAGTTATAAAATAATCTCTACAAATACGTCCCCACTTACTAAGGACTATTATAATTTATTACTAACTAAAATGTAACAAACAGATTTGCAAATTAAATTTAAACGATCTATTTATTGCGGTCGAAGTTAAATGCAAGTTATTATCATTGTTGTTCGAATATTACGACCGCGCCTTTCTTCTGGAAATCTAACACTAATGCTCGGCCAGTTATATTAGTAACAATGCAACGATTGTT